ATGTCTCCACTAGGCCAACCAGGTCGATTTTACTACTTACAAGCAGGAGAGCAAGCTCCTCCTGCTTGTTCCCCATGATTTGTAAGGTTGACTGGAACTGGCTAAAAGGCTAACAGAAATATTGAAAAAAAGTAGCAACAGGCTAGAGGGAGATTACTAGAAGAGGTCAGCAAGGATAAGTCTTGCGATCAGCCTTACTTAAGCATTAGCAATAAAAAGAGGATCAGAATATTGTACTGAAGTGCAACAGTAACAGGAATGGGGTGGTTTAAAAGTACAAAATTGAAGGTCATGCACTTTGAGACTGATAACAAGGATGTTTGCAATGAATTAGAGGCTAATCAGTTGGAAATGACAGAGGAAGGGAAAGATCTAAGCGTACTTGACTTGTTGATCACAGGATATCTGAGAGACATCAATGTGATGTGGCCATGAAAAGGGGGAAATGCAACCCAAGGATACATTAGCCAAGGTATTTCCAGTGCAGATAGCAAAGTGTGAATGTCAGTATAGTACTAAGAAGCCCTCAGCTAAAATACTATGTACAATTCTGTCCACATATCTCCAGGAAAGACTTTAAAGTAGAAAGGTTTCAGAGAAGTGTTTCTAGGATGATCACTGGATGAGAAACAAGTCTTATCAAAGGACACTGTTTTAGCTTAGCAAAACAAAGCTCAAGAGGGGACATGACTGCTCTCTATATGAAGGGGAAGAGATATGTAAGCCAAATGACCGTGTTGGCACAAGAACAAATGGGCAACTGGCTGTGATACATTTAAGATGAAAAATGAGGTTTCAGTGCAGTGGGGGTCATCAATAGCCTTCCAATCTCTGTAGTGGGGAAAACAACCCTAATTAGGGGGAAGAGGCTAAATCTTGTGAATGGGATTATAGGATACAGCTGCCTGTAAAAGTAGAGGACTGGAATCAATAACTCAAAATACCCTATATTCCCATGTCATTATATTTTTACCATTATCTATCACCATCTAAACAAATTTTCCATTGATAGAACACAGGAGTAATTCCATCTGAGATAAAAATCACTTTTCTCCAGATAGTCTATAGAGAACTAGCATCCATTAAATGCAAAAGCAAAAAAAAGATGAACAAAGAAAGACAGCAATTCTAGCATGTAAAAACTCTCAGAGACAAAGGAGGCTTCAGACAGGAAAAAGGATGCTTTAGTAGCACAGCTGATACTATAAAACCGGGCTGAATAGTTTTGACCACTATGGTGTTAACCGTTGATTTAAACTGGGTAAAAC